GGAGACACGGGGCCAGAGGTTGAGCTGGTGCGCAGCCTACCGGACCGCAAACGGCCACAGAAAGTGGGGGGCAGCCGCATGGATCAAGGAGGTACGGGCGACCTCCATGACCAGGCCAATGCGGCGCTCCACAACCCCATTCTGCTGTGGAGAGGCCGGAAGCGTGAACGACTGCTCAATGCCGTGCTCAGCACAGTAGGCTGCCAAGAGGCCAGAGGAGAACTCACCACCTCTGTCAGAGTGCAAGCGCAGGACAGGAAAGTCCGAGTGAAAACGCTCGCTGAGCTGGAGACGGGCTCTGCGGATCCAAGGGATCAAGACATCAGGGACCTCACCCTTGGTGCGCAAGGGGAAGACCGAGGTGTAGCGCGAGTAGTCGTCAACAACTATCAGGAAGTACCTCTCCTGACCCTGACCACGGACGCGGGCTGGGCCCCACACGTCCATGTGGAGCGTCTGCAAAGGAGCAGTCGACGGGGGAAACGAGGAGGAGTGAGGAGCGGCGCGCTGCCGCCCCTCGACACAGGGAAGGCAGGGAGGAGCAGGCGAGGGTGGGAGGGGAGGGAGGACCGGGAGTGCATGGCACGAAGGCGCTGCACAGACGGGTGGCCAAGTCGGTGGTGCCAGAGGACAGTCTCGTGTGCTAGAGAGCAACACGAGCAGGGGGCAGACAGCTGACCTGACGCGGACGCAAACGCAGACGCAGACGCAGCGACCTGAGGGGAGGCAGTAGTCAGTGTGTACAGGTCCGAGCCCGGCTGCCGAGTAAAGGTAGCCAAGTGACGGCCCGTACGAGCACACGTGCAGTGTGTCACGCGCTCGTAAGCAGGGGTGAACTGGTGAACACCCCCGTCCTGGAGAGCACATCCTGCCACCAAGTTCGTAGAGAACGAGGGGAGGTGGAGACCTGACAGTGTGCCCGACGGGACCGCAGGACAGGGAAGGACAGTGGAAGAGGTCGCAATGACCGGACCCCCAGAGGGGTCAGCAAGCGAGACAGCAACTGGCCGAGCAAGAGGCTCAAGGGCAGTGCGGTCAGAAAAGAAGCAGCGAGAGGCACCTGAGTCCAGTATGAAGGTGTGCTGGGCGGCAGTCGACGCAGTACCAAGGGGGGGAGACATACGAGCACCTAGAGCAGCAGCCTCACCAGCACCTGGGGTAGCCGACACGCGAGTACCTGGAGCGGCAGACGCACTGGTCCTAATGCCCGGGTCGGGCGGCACACACAAGTACTCGGCACCCTCTCCACTAGTAGACATCACATACATGGCAGATAGAATAGCATCAAAGTCTAGAGCATAGATGTCAATCCCCTTCTTTAGGAGATCAAGCCAGCGGGGCAGCTCAGTGGCCTGAGGGAACTGAACACGCCAAGCGTCATCTAGACGAGAGAAACAGTGCTGTGTGGCGTGCGGTCGTCCACACTGCTGACCAGTGCGGTCACCAGTGCGAATGACGTACGTGCAGCTAAGACCACCCCCACCCCCGTGCTGAGAGTACCACTCACGGACTTCCTAGGGCGAGGGAGTGTGCTGCTGGCCCTGGCCACCGCCAGTGCCTCCACGGCCACCACCACCGCTGCCACCTCCTCGACCACCCCAACCCCTGCCGCCGCCTCGTCCACCGCCACCCCAACCGCCGCCTCCACTCCTGCCACCTCCCCCGCCGCCGCCGCCACCACCCCCACCGCTACCACTCGCCCCTCCAGCCGAGCCACCACCCCCACTGCCTCCACCGCCCCCACCGTCGCCTCCCCCGCCGTCACTGCTACCACCCTTGCCCCCCTTGCCCTTGCCGCTGCGGCGCCCGCTCGAGGCAGACGCAGCGCCGACCTTCTCAGCACCGAGAAGGTCGACAGCAGCAGCAGAGGCGACAGAGGGAAGAAGGGGGGAAGGAGAACACCCCTCAAAGAACGGGGTACGGGGGTCGCCACGAGAGGCACCTACAGCGACTATGCTAGTCTCAGCTGCAAGGAGCTCCTTCTCGAGGAGGGCAATGGTGAGCTCAGTTGGGCAACGAGCTAGGAAGTGGTCCCTGACAACACGCAGTGTGTCAGGGAGGCGGGTGACTAGGTGGTAGAGAGTGAGCCAGACTGGAGGGGGGTGCGTGGTAAGGAACTCAGCAGGCATGGCGGCACGGAAGCGGGCCTCACTAGTGCGGAGGTGCGTGATGAGGTCAGCGACTGTGTGAAAGGAGGCCAGGTCGGGAAACAGGTAGGGGAGGGAGAGACGGCCTAGAGCGGCAGAGGCAGGTGAGGAGTAGCGAGCAACTACCGCTGTGTACAGTGCCTGTGCAGTCTTGTGCTGGCCAAAGTGCTCGCGTTCGTCTATCGGCAGGGAGTTGCGAATGGCGAAGCGAGCGTGGGCATCACGAGTCTGCCACTGTGAGCGAGCAGTGCTGTCAGCAGTAGCAGCAGGGGCAGTGACATGGCCTAGGGCGTGATCGTACAGTGAGATGTCATCCTTGGCTGTGAGCTGTAGGTAGATGTGCAGGTCATCGAGCCAGGTGTCAAACTTCACAGGGCGGCCCTCAGCATCGAACACGAGAACCTGTGGGCTAGCCATAGGAACAGTAGAATAGCAGCAGTAGCAGAAGCAGTAGCAGTAGCAGAAGCAGGTAGGACGAACCAGGTAAGGCAGGGCGGCGCGGCTCGGTTCAGGTCGGGTCGCGGCTCGGCTGGGTGGCGCGGCTCGGTTCAGGGCACGCGGCTCGGCTCGGGGCGCGCGGCTCGGGTCACGGCGGGGACGGGCCGCCCGGTCTCACTCGTGTGCTGCGGCGGGAACGGGCCGCCCGGGGCCTCTAGGTGGTGGGCACGGGGCCAATCGGGGCCTGAGCGGGGTTAGCGCGGGGTCAACCGGGGCCTTGAACGGGACTAGCGCGGGGCCGACGGGGCCTGAGACGGGGCCGACGGGGCCTGAAACGGGGCTAGCGCGGGCCCGATCAGGGCCTGAATGGGGCTAGCGCGGGGCCGACGGGGCCTGAGAGGGGCTAGCGCGGGGCCGACGGGGCCTAAAACGGGGCTAGCGCGGGCCGATGGGGCCTGAGACGGGGCTAGCGCGGGCCGACGGGGCCTGAGAGGGGCTAGCGCGGGGCCGATGGGGCCTGAAACGAAGCTAGCGCGGGCCGACGGGGCCTGAGAGGGGCTAGCACGGGCCGACGGGGCCTGAGAGAGGCTAGCACGGGGCCGGCGGGGCTTGAACGGGGCTAGCGCGGGGCCTGAACGGGGGCCGACGGGGCCTGAACGGGGCCGCTAAGGAGAGCGGGCGTGGGGCCAACGGGGCCTGAACGAGGCTAGCGCGGGGCCGTCAAGAGGGGCCTCTAGGGGCGTGATACGCCGAGGCGCCCTAGGGCACTGGTAGGTAGGTAGGTAGGTAGTTACGTAGTGGTGGGCCCTTAGAAATTTTCGGTCCTAGGAAGGACCTGCTCTATACCATGTTGGAATAACTGAACAGGAATGAATGAACTAGCAGTGAAATGAGTACAAGTACCTAACCCTAGAATTGTGTACCCCCTATAGGCTAACCCACTGTAGCCTAAACTAACACAACATATATATAATATTTGACAAAAGTCAATCCACCGGACCTGCCGCCTGGAGAGTGTTGGTTGGGTCTTCAGATACTTGAGGCTGCAGTGGTCAGTGTAGACGGTCATTTTTCTTCCTTCGAGATAACACCTCCATGCCTTAAATGCGTTGACGATGGCGAGGGCCTCTTTGTCATGGATGGGGTGATTGAGTTCTGCCCCGTGAAGTTTTTTACTGAGGTATGCAATGGGCTGCAGTCCCTTCCCTTGATCCTGCATGAGTACTGCGCCCACTGCTTGATCGCTAGCATCGGCCTCGATGACATAGTCAAGTTCAGGGTCTGGCAGGATAAGGACAGGTGCGGACGTGGGTGCGGTTTTAAGTTGTTCCACGACTTCCTGATGCTTCGCCTCCCATTGATATGGTGTATTCTTCTTCAACTGGTTCGTTAATGGTGCGGCAATCTTGGCTTAGTTCGGTACGAACCGGTTGTAGTAGTTGGCGAATCCAAGGAACTGTTGTAACTCCTTCACGTTCTCAGGGGTCTTCCACGTTTGCACTGCTTCGATCTTCTTAGGATCCACGTGAACTCCTTGAGCGCTCACCATATGTCCAAGGAACTGGACTTTTTCCAACGCAAACTCGCTCTTGGATAGTTTCACGTAGAAGCGTTCTCGTCGAAGAATTTCAAACACTCGTCGCAGATGCTCAACATGCTTCTTCATGTCTTTCGAGTAGATCAGGATATCGTCCAAATATACCACCACATTCTCGTCCAGAAGGGGCGGAAGGATGTGGTTCATTTCCGCCTGAAATGTGGCTAGTGCGTTAGTGAGTCCGAACGGCATCACGAGATACTCGTATGACCCATATCGAGTTCGAAAGGCGGTTTTGTGGATAGAGTTGTCCGCCATACGAATTTGCCAGTATCCCGATCTAAGGTCGAGCTTGGAGAATACCGTAGCACCGCGAAGTTGATTGAGTAAGTCGTCGATCCGTGGTATCGGGTATTTATTTTTTACAGTCTGCTTGTTCAAGGCTTGGTAGTCGATGCACATTCGCAGACTTCCGTCTGGCTTCGGAGTGAAGAGTACTGGAGCTCCGTACGGCGAAGTCGAAGGTGTCAGAATGAGAAGTGACTAGCAGGAACAACAGTACAAATATGTCAAACCCTAATCTGGTGTACCCCTTATGGTGTGACCCACTACAACCTAGAACCACACAAACATATAAATGTTTGACACACCCCCATAGGCAAAGTGGGGGAGACCTAGGGGTCACAAGACCAGTCAAGGCAAAACAAGGCAAACAAGCTCAGGGTGGATCTCGAGGATTCCACACAAATTCCGAGCACAAGCAAGCGGTCACAAGACCAGTTCATATGCAGTTTTATAATAGAGCAAGAGGTACAATGATCACAACCTAACAAGGCAAACATGCAGGTATATATATAATGATCACAGTACAGGTAAAGTCAAGAAGTAAGTAAGTGAGAAACAGTCGGCACAAGGCCTAGAAGAGTGCAAAAACGCTGATGGTCAACAGGCGGAAGCGCCTTGGTGAACACATCAGCAGTGTTGGCCTCAGTGGCCACGTAACGCAGAAGAAGCTGACAACACTGCTGTAGCTCTCGAGCTAGAAAGTAACGCAGAGCAATGTGCTTCGTCCTGTGCTCCAGTCTGTGCTCCTGGCACAAGGCAATGGTTGCCTTGTTGTCGACGTACAGCACTGGAGGAGAACGAGGCTGCTCTCCAAGGTCAGTCAGCAGGAAGGTGAGCCAGCGAAGCTCCTGGGCACCCATGGCCGTGGCGTAGATCTCAGCCTCATAGCTGGAGCTGAGAACAGAAGAAGAACGAGTAGAACGCCAAGAGACAGAGCCAGAGCCAAGACTGAAGGTGTAACCCTGAGACGACCGCTGAGTAGCCTGGTCGTCTGCCCAAGAAGCGTCTGAGTGCCCAGTGAGAACAGGCCGGTCTCGCCCTCCAAGCACTAGCCCCATGCCCGACGTACTGCACAAGTAGCGCAACACCCTCTTAGCTGCATCCATGTGCTCCTTCCGGTGACGGCCGGGAGCAACATAGCGTGCTAAGATGCTGAGAGGGTATGCTAGGTCAGGTCGAGTGCAGGTCATCAGGTACATGAGGCAGCCCACAAGCTCTGGATACGGACCACTCGACTCTACGGACTCATCCGAAGGCAGAGCTGAGAGCGAGTGACCCGTAGGCAGAGGAGTGGACTGAGGCGAGGAGTACGTGAAGCCGAAGCGCTGAAGGACCTGCTGCACCATGTGTGACTGAGTCAGGGTAATGGTGCGGCGTGCTCTGTCCCGGGTGATCCGCAAGCCAAGATAGCTTGTCAGTTCACCCAGGTCTGTGCACGTGTGTCTCTTCTGCAGCTCGGACTTCACGTGGGCGAGTGCGGCAGTGTCCGCAGTGGCAAAGACCAAGTCGTCGACGTACACGAGGATGTAGAACGGCGGCAGCGAGGTGTCGGTGCGCAGAAACAGCGACGGGTCAGCAGTAGAAGGAGCAAACCCAAGAGCCGCAAGTGTAGTCCTCAGTGTGTCGTGCCACTCACGCGGCGCCTGGCGGAGACCGTAGACTGGCCGCCGGAGGCTCCACTGGGTGCCAGGAGGGAACGACCCAGTGAAGCCAGGTGGGCGGCGCAGCCAGATCTCCTCGTGCAGGCTGCCCTGCAAGAAAGCTGTGCTGAAGTCAAGAGAGTGGAGCTCGTAGTCACGCTGAGCGGCGACGTGTAGCAGAACCCGAAGAGTGGTCATCTTCGGGGTCGGGGAGAAGGTCTGGAAGAAGTCAACTCCCTCTCGCTGACTGAAGCCTCGTGCAACGTAACGCGCCTTGAAGACAGGCGGAGAGCCTGGCGGCCGCTTCACCCTGAAAATCCACATGCCACTGACGATGTTCGCCCCAGGTGGGGGAACGTCGTCGACGTAGGTGCTTGTGGACTTCCAGGAAGCCATCTCTGTGTCCATGGCTGACTGCCACTGAGAGGAGTAGGGACCGGCCATCGCCTCTGCGTAAGAGCGTGGGGTCGGGATGTCTGGTGCATCCAGGTCTCCCTCAGGGGCAACAAGCATGGACACGAGATGGGGCAAAGCAGCGGCAAGGCAACCAAACTCCTCCTACCTGTCCTCAAGGACGTCCGTGCCAAGAGCACACTCACCCCCGACGGACGGAGGACAAGCAGACTCAGACTCAGCAACAAGACTCGCTGCGTAGTCTAGACGACATGCAGTTGCAAAGTCGACAAGCTCAGTGACTAGGGCAGACGCAGCAGCGGACTCAAAGGAAGGGTCAGTGACAACCGTAGCCAGGAGACGTGTGACAGTAGGACTGGCAGCGCGAAGGGAGTCTGACTCCGGGTCAGCAAGAGCAGGAAGAGAGGACGCAGGAGGCGACGGGAGAGCAACACGCTGCGGAGCAGTGGACTGACGAAGCGCCATCCGGTGCGTGCCTGGGACAGCAGGAGGACGCTCACGCGGGACACGACTACCAGTGGTAGCAGCTCGAACAGGCGACGCTCGACGAGACGCAGGTGACACAGGACGTGACGCAGGCTCACGTCTCTCAGCAAGACCGTCAGTCGGACCACTGTAAGGAGCAGGCACAGGGAGTGGGGAGGCAGGCGGTAACCGTGGCTGTGACTGGACAGACGGCTGACACTCTAAGGCGAGAGGAGAACAAGGAGGAGGAGGCTGACCAAGAACCTGCTGAAGGAGCGGAACGAAGTACGGTCGTGGCCGTGCAGCAGCTCTCGAACCAGCAGAGACACCAGCGGCAGCAGCAGCACCTCCAAAAGCAGCAGCACCTCCAGCACCAGGGTCCGCAGCACCTCCAGCAGCACCTCCAGCAGCACCGCCAGCAGCAGCAGTACCTCCAGCAGCACCGCCAGCAGCAGCTGCACCTCCAGCACCAGGGTCCGTAGCACCCACAGCAGCTCCAACGCCCGGGTCCTCAGTACTAGCAGCACCTCCAGCATCACCGCCAGCAGCAGCAGCACCTCCAGCACCAGGGTCCGTAGCACTCGCAGCAGCGTCAACTCCGGGGACCCCAGCACCAGCAGCTCCACTACGGAGACTGATGTGCCGAGCGTACCACTCTCGAAGCTGAGGGGAAGAGGGCGGCTCCCGCCGTGGTGGGGAAGCACGAGTACCAACTCCAGCAGTACCACGAGCCCGAGACTCACCCCGCCGGAGGCTGCAGTACCGTGAGTACCACTCACGCAGCTGCTGCGAAGAGGGAGGTCCTCCAGGCGCCTCACAGTCAACTGCAACACCACCAGGCTCAGCACCCCCAGGCTCAGCAACTCCAGGCGCAGTGCCCCTAGACTCAGCAACGCCAGGCTCAGTACCCCCAAACCCAGCACCCCCAGGCTCAGCACCCCCAGGATCAGCACCCCCAGACTCAGTACCCCCAGGCTCCGCCCGCTCAGGCTCCGCACGCTCAGGCTCCGCACGCTCAGGCTCAGCACCTCCAGCAGGACGCGAGTCGACAGCTACCTCGGCAGGCTCAACCGGGTCTACCTGAGAGACACCTGAGGGAGCGGCACCCTGAGGGGGAAGGGGGTCTACCACTGCAGCACCTGGCGCGAGGAAGAGAGGCGGGGGAGGGAGCGGGGCAGTGCGGTAGGGGAAGAGGCGGTAGAAGGGCACGGACTCGTCAAAAGTGACGTCCTGAGAGGGGAAGACTCGGTGCGAGGCAGGGTGGTAAAACTGCCAGCCAGACGCATCCGGGACAAAGCCAAGAAAGACACACGGAGCAGTGCGGGAGGAGAGCTTGTCCGCAGACGTGTCGCGAACAAAAGCTCGGGATCCCCAGACACGGAAGCGTGACGCATCGCCAACCTCCCCCGTCCACAGCAGTGTGGGCGAGGTCTCCGGAGCGGAGACACGGGGCCAGAGGTTGAGCTGATGCGCAGCGTACCGGACCGCAAACGGCCACAGAAAGTGGGGGGCAGCCGCGTGGACTAAGGAGGTACGAGCGACCTCCATGACCAAGCCAATGCGGCGCTCAGCAACCCCATTCTGCTGTGGAGAGGCCGGGAGCGTGAACGACTGGCGAATGCCATGCTCGGCACAGTAGGCTGCTAAGAGGTCGGAGGAGAACTCGCCACCTCTGTCAGAGTGCAAGCGCAGAACACGAAACTCCGAGCGAAAACACTCTCGCAGCTGAAGACGTGCTCTGCTGATCCAGGGGATCAGAACATCAGGGACTTCACCCTTGGTGCGCAAGGGGAAGACCGTGGTGTAGCGCGAGTAGTCGTCAACAACGATCAGGAAGTACCTCTCCTGGCCCTGACCACGGACGCGGGCTGGGCCCCACACGTCCATGTGGAGCGACTGCAAAGGAGCAGTCGTCGGGGGGAACGAGGAGGAGTGAGGGGCAGCGCGCTGCCGCCCCTCGACACAGGGAAGACAAGGAGGAGCAAGGGAGGGTGGGAGGGGAGGGAGTACCCGAGGAAGACCAGAGACAAGGTACCGGGCGTGCATGCCCCGAAGGCGCTGCACTGACGGGTGACCAAGTCGGTGGTGCCAGAGGACGGTCTTGTGCGCTAGAGAGCGACACGAGCAGGGGGCAGAGAGCTGACCTGACGCAGACGCAGACGCAGACGCAGCTACCTGAGGGGACTCAGTGGTCAGTGTGTACAGGTCCGACCCCGGCTGCCGAGTGAAGGTAGCCAGGTGACGGCCCGTCCGAGCACACGTGCAGTGTGTCACACGCTTGTAGGCAGGGGTGAACTGGTGAACACCCCCATCCTGAAGCGCACAACCCGCCACCAAGTTCGTAGAGAACGAGGGGAGGTGGAGACCTGACAGTGTGCCCGACGGGACAGCAGGACAAGGAAGGAGGGTGGAGGAGGTCGCAATGACCGGACCCCCAGAGGGGTCAGCGAGCGAGACAGCGACTGGTCGAGCAAGGGGCTCAAGAGCAGTGCGGTCACGAAAGAAACAGCGCGAAGCGCCTGAGTCTAGAGTGAAGGTGTGCAGTGCCTCAGTGGACTCAGTAGCACCTGGGGTGGCGGACACACACGCACCTAGAGCAGTAGCCTCACCAGTACCTGGGGCAGCAGACACGCAAGCACCTAGGGCTGCAGCCTCACTCGTGCGGATGCCTGGGTCAGGCGGAACACTCAGGTACTGGTCCTCCTCTCCACTAATAGTCAATGCATACATTGCTTTGAGAATAACATCAAAATCAAGAGCATAGATATCGATATCCTTCTTGAGGAGATCAGCCCACTGAGGGAGCTCAGGAGCGTCAGGAAACTGAGCACGCCAAGCCTCATCTAGGCGAGAGAAGCAGCGCTGCGAAGTGTGCGCCCTCCCGCACGTCTGTCCCTTGCGGCGACCAGTGCGGATGACGTACGTGCAGCTAAGGCTACCCCCCCCCCCCCCCCCCCCCCCCTGCTGTAAGTACCACTCACGAAGCTCCTGGGAGGACTGAGGGTGCTGCGCACTCTGGCCAGTGCCAGAGCCTCCACGACCACCACCGCCGCCTCCACCACGACCACCACCGCCCCTGCCGCCGCCACGTCCACTGCCGCCACCACCACCGCCCCCACCGCGGCCACCGCCGCCGCCGCTGCCTCCACCATCCCCACCGCTGCCACTAGCCCCTCCAGCCCCGCCACCGCCCCCGCCGCTGCCACCACCCCCACCACCACCTCCCCCGCCGTCACCCCCACCGCCCTTGCCTCCCCTGCCCTTGCCGCTGCGGCGCCCGCTGGGAGCGGACGCAGAGCCGACCTGCTCAGCACCAAGAAGGTCGACACCAGCAGCAGAGGCGACAGAGGGGAGGAGGGGGGAGGGGGAACACCCCTCGAAGAAAGGGGTGCGGGGGTCGCCACGAGAGGCACCTACAGCTACAATACTCTTCTCAGCTGCAAGTAGTTCCTTCTCTAGGGCGGCAATGGTGAGCTCAGTGGGACAGCGAGCTAGGAAGTGGTCCCTGACTGTACGCAGAGTGTCAGGGAGGCGGGTGACTAGGTGGTAGAGAGTGAGCCAGAGCGGGGGAGGGTTGGAGGCAAGAAACTCAGCGGGCATGGCTGCACGGAAGCGGGCATCACTAGTACGGAGGTGAGTGATGAGGTCAGCGACTGTCTGGAAAGCGGACAGGTCGGGGAACAGGTAGGGAAGGGAGAGACGGCCTAGTGCAGCTGAGGCCGGGGAGGAGTAGCGCGCAACTACAGCAGTGTACAGGGCCTGCGCAGTCTGATGCTGGCCGAAGTGCTCACGCTCATCGACTGGCAGGGAGTTGCGAATGGCAAAGCGGGCGTGGGCATCGCGAGTCTGCCACTGCGAGCGAGCAGTAGCGGTAGCAGTAGTAGCAGGAGCAGGGACTGTGCCTAGTGCGTGATCGTACAGCAAGATATCCTCTCTGGCAGTGAGCTGGAGGAACAGGTGCAGATCATCGAGCCAGGTATCAAACTTAATCGGGCGGCCCTCAGAATCGAACGAGAGAACTGTAGGGCTAGCCATAGCTGAAGTAGCAGTAGCAGCAGTGGTTGTAGTAGCAGTAGTAGTAGCAGTAGCAGTAGCAGTAGCAGTGCTGTGCACAGGTAAGTAGGGCGCGGCTCGGCTAGGGCGGCGCGGCTCGGCTAGGGCGGCGCGACTCGGCTAGGGCGGCGCGACTCGGCTAGGGCGGCGCGGCTCGGCTGGGGCGGCGCGGCTCGGCTGGGTCGCGCGGTTCAGTTCGGGTCGCGCCGTGCGGCTCGGTCGTAGAGGGGCGAGCGCGGGAGGGCCGGTCGGGGCTAGCGCGGGGCCAAAGGGGGGGCCGTGAGAGGCTAGCGTGGGGCCTGCAGGGGACGTGGGAGGCTAGCGTGGGGCCTTAAGGGGCCGTGAGAGGCTAGCGCGGGGCCTGCAGGGGCCGTGGGAGGCTAGCGCGGGGCCGACGGGGGCCTTAGGAGGCTAGCGCGGGGCCGATCGGGGGCCTTAGGAGGCTAGCGCGGGGCTAGCGTGGGGCCGACGGGGGCTTAGGAGGCTAGCGGGGGGCCGACGGGGGCCTTAGGAGGCTAGCGCGAGGCCGATCGGGGGCCTTAGGAGGCTAGCGCGGGGCTAGCGTTGGGCCGACGGGGGCTCAGGAGGCTAGCGCGGGGCCGATCGGGGGCCTTAGGAGGCTAGCGCGGGGCTAGCGTGGGGCCGACGGGGGCCTTAGGAGGTTAGCGCGGGGCCAATCGGGGGCCGTGAGAGGCTAGCGCGGGGCCATACGGGGCCTTGAGAAGGAGGCGCTCGAGGCGCAGGAAAAAGAACGGCGGCGCACGAGGGCGCGGCTAGCGGAAACGGTGGGCCCTATCGTTTCGGTCCTAGGTGGAACCTAGGCTCGTAATACCATGTCAGAATGAGAAACGAGAATGAGGAGTGACTAGCAGGAACAACAGTACAAATATGTCAAACCCTAATCTGGTGTACCCCTTATGGTGTGACCCACTACAGCCTAGAACCACACAAACATATAAATATTTGACAGAAGGTCGAATCACCCCTTTCTCCAGGAGATACTCTATTTGTTTTTTCATATCGGCAAGCTCTGTCGGGCTCAGCCGGTATGGTGCTCGGAACGTTGGCTTGGACCCCGGCTCTTCTACAATCTCGTGTTGATGTGTTCGGTATGGCGGTAGTTGATCAGGTAAATCGTCGGGGAGAACGTCCTGGAACTCTTCAAGAATTTTCTTGACTGCTGGAGGAAGTTCCTGGACCTACTTCTCTCCGTTGTCTGCTTCGTTGACTATCGCCATGAATCCCGCCGTGGTCCGTTTGACGTCCTTTTCAAAGCGTGCGAGTGTCTCGACTGGAATATTTCCCGTGTCGTCCCATTTGGGAAGGCTGATTTTCCTCCCGTTGTTGTTGATGTTGGCCGTGTGAAAAGTTTAGAAGAAAGAAGAGGGCTGCACTAGCAAGAATGGGGATACAAATAGCAAACCCTAGAAGGGTTGTACTCGCTATAGAGCACCCCACTACAGGCTAGAGCATAAGATAACATTCTGACAGGCCGTCCGGTTAACCCAGTTGATCTCGGGGTTGAACTTTTTAAGAAAGTCTCTCCCGAAGATTACGTTGAGTCCTTTGATATTTGTGACGGGGAGAGCAGGCTTTCATCGAAGGGGTCCAATCTGGAGTAGTAACTGTGTTTCCCCGTAGATAGGTAGCTTACTGCCATCCACCATCGTTGCAGAGAAGCTTGAGGACTTGATTTCACCTCCGAGTCGATCGATTGCCTTTTTGTCATAGGCGCTGTGCGACGCCCCGCTGTCCACGAGTGCTTGGAGGCGATGTCCGTTGTAGATCACCTCGAGCAGGAGTGGTGAGCGTTGCTCGGAGTACCCAAAAATAGTCTCATTAATAGGATCATAGGGTACATCCCAATATTTAGTACACACCGTGGTTCCACTGTTTGCTCCTGGACAACCAGCTGGCCTGGGCTGCGTGGAGAAAAGCTCCTCTCCAACGCCAGGAGTAGAGGTAGTAACCATACAGGTTGACCCTGAGGGGGTGGATCCGGTCGACGCCTGCGATCCACTGGATGCATCCTGGAGGGGTTTTCGGAGTTTCCGCAGCTTCTTTTGAACTCCCAGCTGCCTCTTCAGCTGCTTCAGCTCCATAGACTTCTTCCCTGGGGAGTGGAGAGTCGTCTTGGGCTGGTTCCGGGAGAGGACGTTGACGCCGTGAAAAGATCTACTCCTTTCCACACTCCTTATTTTTTTCCCCAGCTCCGTAGGCACCGGTACCACTTCTTTAATTGTCTGCTTCCTCTGGAGTTCTTCCCGGAATTTGTTTATGGCTCCGGACCCGCGAAAATCACCAGTCTTCATTAAAGCATCTTTGAAAGATAACTTTAACGAATTCTGTTTTTTTCCGGGGTCGAATTGGAGAGTTCCCGTCTTGGTCGAGTCTGTTTTCGCAAAGGTTTTCTTTTCCTCGGCGAATCCCTCTCACAAATTTCGATCAAGGGGCTTGGGATTTCGCCCTTTATTCTCCAAATCTCGCGCCCAATGCTGTCCTTCAATTTCGATTCGGTCCAGATTGCGCTGACGCTTTCGGATCTGCTTTTCCTCGCCAGCACGATCCGCAATCACTGGCGAGATCCGTTTTTTGACTTTTTGTCTTTAGTTTCGTCACTCCCACGAGCTCGGAATGCCGCACGTGCAGATTTCATGTGAAAACAGTCGACAATCCGATGTCCGTTTCCGCCGCAAAATTCGCAAAACGTTTTTTTTTTTTTGCAGGTCGTGAATTCGCGTCGAATTTGTCGACTTCCATGGGGTCGGCGAACGTGGTTGAAGCCGAGCGATCCCCTTGTCGTGATCCGACAACGTGGGGTCGTCGTGTTCCGGAATTGACCAAGTCAAAACGCTCCGCGGCCGATACGATTTCGCTGTAGCTGCTGCAATTCGCTGCTGCAACCTGGCGCCGAATGTCGGTTTTCAGCCCCGCGATGTAGTGTCAGAACTTATAGCTTACTTGTTTCTGTAGGCTATAGTGGGGTATCCCAT